CGAAGCGATCGATGGCGTTTTCGTATGGGGCGGGTTCCCAGCCTCTTGTCTTAGTCATTTTCCAAGGATCCGGCTTGCCGCGCGAAGACGACGACGATGAACTCGAGCGATGCGGACCGCCAAATCAAGCAGATGGTGAACTTCATCTTGCAGGAAGCGCAAGAGAAGGCCAACGAGATCCGCATCAAGGTACCTCGCGTCGGCGACGTCATGGCCAGCGCGGCGAAATGACCTTGGTAGACGGAGCATGATTTCAACCTCGAGAAGCAAATGCTCGTGCACAACGCCAAGGTCAAGATTCAGGAAGAGTACGCGCGCAAGGAAAAGGAACGCGAGATCAACAAGCGCATGTACACGCCGTGGTTGTAAATGGCGATTGACACGCACGCGTAGCGCCCGCTCGGCCGAGATTGGCGCGTCGCGCCGCAAGAAGATGATTGCCCGCGAAGAGCTCCTGCAGTCGCTTATCGCCGAGGGCAAGGCGCGCTGCGGCGAGGTCGCCCAGCACGAAGGCGCGTACCGCACGCTGCTCCGCGACCTCTCGGTCCAGGTACACATACATCACCACCGTCTCATCGTCATTCTATCGTCATCCTATGCTCCGTAGGGCTTGATCAAGCTCCACGAAACCGAGGTCATGCTCGCGGTCCGCAGCAAGGACGTGCACATGATCGAGTCGTTGGTCCCGGAGATCGCGGCCAACTATGCTGCCATCATGAAGCAGGAAGCTGGCGTCGACATGCACACCAAGCTCACGGTCTGCAAAGATGAAAAGCTCATGCCGCCCTCGCACAGCGCCGGCGGCGTCACGCTCGTCGCCAAGAACGGCAAGATCGTGTGCGACAACACGCTCGACACGTACGTTTCGACAATCCAAGCAGAGAGATGATGATGGACATGTCTAGGCGCTTGATGACGGTCAACTACGACGAGAAGCCGACGATCCGCAAGATGCTCTTCCCCGAGATCAAGTAGACACCTCGACGCTCATGTCTTAAGACGCAGCCTCTACTTCGTCTCTTCTTGCGTGTGTTTTTTAGTCTTTCAACGCGCTTGCTATCTACAACTAGACCAAGTGCAGCTCGCTCAGGACACTGCTGCACTTGGCGTTGACCTTGACCGTCGCAAGGCCGTCGCCGCGCGTCGGGCCAATGTTGACAATCCCGATCGGCACGTGGGCGTCTTTGGCGCGGAGGAGGAAGCGGTACCCCGAGAACACATGCAGCGAGGACCCGAGCACCAGCATCGCGTCCGCTGTGTCGACGTCATGGTAGATCTACTGCACCGCGTCAGCGTCTTTCGAGGTAATGAATGAAGATGACCTGCTGCACGGTAGCCGGCGCGACCGAGTCGCCAAAGAAGACGACGTTGGGCTTGTAAAACCCGATGCGACATAATGGGCAGTGGGCCACATGGAAGAGCCGCTCCATCTCCTAGTAATAGCCAACAAAGCGTCGAGTCCTGCGGCTATCTTGCAGAGTCGTCGTACGGTCGAGAGGTACATGTCGGCGTCCGGTCGCACTTGCATGGCATTTGCCAGCGTCTCGTTGTCGGCCTGCACCTTCTCGACAAACCCTGGGTTGAGGGCGTCGAGGACGACCTGAAAGTCTTCGCGGGCCATCGCGGGCGCGTCGCACGCCGGGTTCATGCAGCGCACTTCGTCCATGGAGCCATGGAGCTCAATGACGTCGCGTGCGCCGGCCTTCTGATGCAGCCGGTCGACGTTTTGCGTCACGATGCGAACGTCGCCCCTGCACACCGACTATGAGACAAGGAGGAGGAGGAGGAGGATTGGGCCGTACCGCGAGTCGTGCTGCCACTGCGCGAGGACGACGTGGTTGGCATTGGGCTGCGCGCCTTGCCACTGGTGGCGGGCCATGTAGTTGCGCGCCCAGTACCGCTGCCGCACCTAGTGCCATGTGTGCGCCTTACGAAGATAGGACGAGAGATACAAGCGTACGGCTTCGTGGCTCATAAAGTCGCGGTGCTCGATCGGCTTGTGGTTGGAGCGGGCGTAGAGCCCGACGCCTTTGGAGCGGTAGTCGGGGATCCCGCTCTCGGTCGAGATACCCGCGCCTGTGAGCACGACGACCTTGGATGCATGATACAGCATCTCTTGCAGCTTGCTCATGGCGTCGTCGTCCGGCGCCTCGTGCGCGGGCACGTACATGGAGAAGCAGCGTCGGCCCCGCGCGACCTTGCGCACCTGCAGCATGAGTCCGGATGCCGAGATCCGCATACAGTACGACGCGACCCACCGAAGGCCCGGGAAGCCACGTGCAGCCCTACCCCTGTTGCCGCTGCCATCAACCGGCCTGCGTACTAGTAGTACCTAGGAGGGAGGCTGCTTGGTGTCATGGTAAAGAGGCGTCACGATGGAGGTAGTGCTGCCGCTTTCTGTTGCCAAAGACTGCCAGATCCCTGGACGCGCGTACACCGGTGCACCACGCAGATCCATAGCATGCACAGGTGCATTGTCCCAGCCTCGTCGTGAATGCACAAAAGCTGTCTTGCAATTGGACCAGGATGTCTTTTGAATGGTAGACGTCCGACGCTGGATGGCGAGCGGTGCGCGGTGGTAGGAATACGTGGCACTCTCTCGCGCCTCCGACGGCGTCGAGAAACGTCTCGAGGTAATCGCGCATGGCCATGACCGGTTCGCTCGACGATTCGAACAGTGTAACGAGGTCTTGTGGTCCACAGGACAAAAGACAATCTGTGCACAAGAAGGAATGTCTTGAGACGGGACGGTGCCCGCGTTTTACTCACGCTAAACCCGAGGTAGTCAATGTCGCTTCAGTGCCCGACGACCGCCGCGGACGCTGCCTGGAGCCTGACCGCGACACGGTCCATGCCCATGCGCAACGCCGTCGCAAGCGCTTCGTTCGCATCGCCTTCATTCCGGTTTTGCCGCAGGAACGCGACAACGTGAACATGGCCCGCCATCGCCGCCCACGTCAGCACCCGCTGCGTGCACGGCGCGTTGGCCGCAGGCAACACGCGAAGCGTCTCGATCTCGCCATTGCAAAGTCCATTGCATCAGGCGGCACGGCCTCTACGAGCGGCAGCACGTAGGCCACGACAGAGCGACCGACTGCCTTCGCGTCGGTGGCGATCAAGGAAGCGGACGACGTCGAGGTGGCCGCGCATGGCTGCGTCCTCGATCGCCCGATGTGAACATCCTTCATGCCGCTTCGCGTGCAGCAGCTGCACAATGCCAACGTGCCCGTGCGCCGTCCATGGCTCGCGACGCGCCACCTTTCTCTCGGTGCGTGTGGAGGAAGTCGACGATGTTCTGGTGCTTAGTGGTGCTCGCCGCGTTCAGTGCCAGTGACGTGCAGCCTTCGTGTCGGTGGTAATGCAGAATCCCGAGAAGGTCGCCGTGCTTGGCCGCAGCATCCATCGCGTCCACCGTGCAAATCTCGCGTCGGTGGTCGTGGAGGAAGCGGACGATCGCAATGTGCCCATGCTCGGCCGCCGCGTTCATGGCCCAGACCGAGCAGGTACATATACCCGGTAAGGTGAAGGAAGAGCAGCGCGCCGAATTGACCAGTGGCCACCACATAGTCCATCACATTCATGGAGACCGCTGAGGGCGACGACGATGGAGCTGTTGTGAAGCCCAGACGTCGAGCGGTGGCGCGATACGCAAGCACGCAGCGCGGCACCCGAGCCAAATTGAGCCGATGCGAACGAGCTTGTTGATTTGGCGCAGATGCACATAAACGTGACCAAGAGAGGCTGTGGAAGGCCATCGTGGAAGCATGTGATGAGCCCGACCACGTCGCGACTTGAGAGCACGGTCGTCATGACGCAAATGATGTCGTGGGCTATCGGTGAGAACGCTAGCGCTGGTACTGTTGTCGTTGGTACCGTTGTCGTAGACCGGTGGTGCAGGCGTCTGCAACGTGTTGCTGGATTGTAGGAGACGAGGCTCGAACCCACGACAACGACACAGATCTTGGGTGTGTTCGTGCATGCGAGAAGACGGCAACCATGGCGACCACACGCGGCTACCCCAATCGAACAAACTCTCTTGCATCACGTAAACGCTACACACTGTATGGGAGCTACGACCCAAGGTTGCACGTCGACCCTTCTACGAGTTTCTGCAGCGTCGGCGCAGCCTCGAGGCGCAGACAGCTGAGACCGTCTTTCGACTCGATCGAACACGTACTGGGCAGCGACACGCGGCTAGAAAAGTAGGGTGCGTGCAGCACCATGGTGTGGTACTCACCGTTCTCGCCGCAGACGTCGACGCCGTCGGAAGCGTGGAGGGCGCACAGATCTCGCAGTGCTTCGCGCGTGATGCGTCGCCCGAGCCACGCGGCAGCATCTCGGAACGACGCTTCCTTGACGCACGAGAACACGACGTGAAAGTCGCGCTCAAGAACGAGGTGCATTAGCGCTTCTCGCGGCCGTTGCCAGAGCGGCGTGAGGATCGCCATGCCCACGGCCGCGCACCGATCGGTCATATAGTTGCTCGTGCTCGTGCCAATGAAGTCAATGTCGCCCGTGACGAGGCACTCGATGCCATGGTCGTTCTGCAGGCGTCGCAGCGCGGCCTCGTAGCTGCCATTGTAGTCGGGCGGGCGGATCGTGAGGAAGATATGGCGCAGCCCGATGGCCGCCGCCTGCGCCTCCATGAGCGGGATCGGGTGGGCGCGGAAGCTCGGGTTCTCTGGCGCGAAGGTCACGAGAAGCGCAACGTCGTGGCCGCCAGCCTTGGCCTCGTACAGCGCCATCGCGCAGTCCTTCCCGCCTGTCCAGGACACGGCAGATCGCATCGCGAAGTCCGGATATGATCCTGCATATCCGGATGGGGGCGTGTGGCGTCGGTGGTATATTCACTTTGGAAGGTTTTTTATGGTGGTGTCACATACTGGTACCTTCGCAGCACGCTTGTGCGTTTCGAGAGCATATCACGCCAGCCACAAACACCGCGCCTAGGATCAGTTGCTCGATAGCTCAACCCCTTCTGGGCGGATCGATTCTGGTGGCTGCTTGCAACAGCCGACCGCACGTATTTACCACCAATCAAACACGGTGAAATAAAGAGTGTGAAAAACTCGTGAATATATAAAGTCTCGGAGGCTTCGCCCTGCCAGCAGCTTCCAGATTTCGACCAGCATGAGCCGCGTCCTCGTGCTTGGCAGCGCCCAAGTGGGCAAGAAGCATATCGTCGAGGCCGTCGTCGCCGCAGGCGGAGCGCAGGATGCTGCCGAGTGGGCCAAGGCCGATGACCACGCCGTGCTTGCGCACACGCTCGTGACCAAGTACTACTCGGCGCCGATCGCGTTCCACGTGCCCGAAGCGGCGCACGACGTACCAGAGGACCTTTCGCCGTACGAAGGCCTGCTGCTTGTGTGGGACGCGACGCAGAAGGCCTCGTGGAGCCATGCGCAGTCGGTCATGGAGGCCATTGCGTCGCGAGAGCATGGCCTCGAGGTGCTGGTCGCCGTCGCCAACCGCGCGTCGCCCGACATGGTGCTCGAGAACATGAACGACTGCTGCTTGGAGCATGGCTTTGAGCACATCGCTGTAAGTCGCGGGGCGTCGAGCGCGGCTGCAGGAAGCGAAACTTCTGGCACCGATCGTCTCGTC